AGGTTTCTAGAGATAAAAATTTTTATACCTTGGAGCAAAGCCAATAACTCCAACTTGTTAGCCGTGGCTAAACCAATAGGGGCAACATATGAGAAGATGACCTCTCCAAAACAATCACGTAATACACCCCCAATTCCTATCAAACCTGGATTATCCAAATAGCTTATGTCAAAATTTAACTTAAAACTCCGCTCTCTGGTACCACCCAAATACTCTTGGGTCATCTTTACTCTACCCATCAAAAATCGCTATTTGGTGCCACCCAAATACTCCCAGTTTATCTTTACTCTACCCATCAAAAATAGATTTGGCAAATTCAACATAACATCTGGTTGTGAAATCCCACAACCCTCCTTAGTAACCGAGAACCATGGCCAAATAGACAATTTTACTTTACTGAGCAATCTACCAAAAGGTGACTCTCTCCCTCAAAAATCCGCTTATTTCTTTCTATTAAAATTTCCCATAATGTAGCCCCTCTCACTGTTTGCCAAACCAAAGTACCCCCACATAAAGTAAATTATTAATGGCTAGCTATCATACTATACCCATCATGAAATGGGGTAATGTAGCATGTACCTCAAGTAAACCAAATAAGGCAACGTGGCAGTGGATAAATATATCATCTCCAGTTTCCTCTTCTACTTTGCACATCAAACAAATGTTGGGTAAAACTTTACACCTCTTAATCAAATTATCCACCGTCAACGTTTTATTTTTTATAGCTAACCATAAAAATACCCGCACCTTATGGGGAACATGCCCTTTCTACACTTTGGCATATTTAAATTTAAAATATAAACAAGGGAAAGTATATAATAAGTCCATTTATCTTTGGCATAAGGTAGTCACAATTAATCTTGACCATTGGATGTGAAATTGGATGGCTGCATTTATTTCATTGACCAAGCTCAAAGTTAAAAAAAAAAATTCTTAAATTTAATGGCACACTCAAGCTGTCAGATCTCACATTAGATGGTTGCAAGTAATTAAGACCTCCCAATACCAAAAATAAATAGTCTCATTTTATATAATTCATATAAACAATACTTTTAAGAGTAATAATCCTATAAGACCCTCCCACACTCATGTGTGTAGGATCCCAAAAGATTGCCATTGAATTTGGCATAGATATCTAGAAAAATTATCTCATGGGTGTGGGACTTGACTTTTCTAGAGATATGTGTCAAATTTAATGGTGATCATTTAAGGTCCTACACACATGGGTGTGAGAGGGTCTCATACGATCCTTACTCTACTTTGAAATACCAAAAATACGACAAATATTTAAGGGAAAAAAATCGAGTCAACCATTCACTTTTAGAGTAATCCACTACTGTACAAAGTGGGAGAAACCGTGGAAGTTTTGAAGGCTGGGTGGCAATATCACTAGTGAGTGGATTATTAGGTGGCATAAAAGCATAAATATGTGAATCGATGTTTGGCTAGCAATATCACAAAGCTTGGGTGGATCTGTAGGTGCCCAATGTAGTTTATACTTTTGTGATCATGGTGGTCCTGCATGACTGTACTTTTTATGATCATGGTAATCCTACATGACTGTACTTCTTGTGATCATGGTGGTCCTGCATGACCAATTGAATATTTGGTCCAGAGACAAAACCTCAAGTTATGTGGTTTTTGTTATCGAATAAAGTTTTTCCTAAACAGGGGACGTATCGTTAACTTTCATTAGAATGGGGGGGGGGGGGGGCGTCCACAACCCTCATATATGTTGGTCAAAGAGATTGGCATTCTAGTATCTATTTCATAAAGATAAACTAATTGAAGAAAAAAATATATAAAGAGACCATTTACTTTTAGTACAAAGAGGTAATAATAACTCGTATCCTTCATATTTTTATGTCGAGTTGTTGTGAGTGTCATTGGCTAAACTCAAAGCTCAAAAAATAAAAAAAAACTCTTGAATTTTGTGACACACCAAGCCATCCAACTTGACATTAAATGGCTATGAGTAGTTGTGACCTCATATAAAAGATAAATGGTCTCATAGTCTATCATCCCTTACACATATAATTAGAGCTGGGTGGGTGAAATGGAGATGTGCAACCACAGTTTTATGTGAATACCGCGTACCAATGAAGCTGAAGTAGAAGTTATATAGGACAGCTATGAAACCAGCTTGTTTTTATGAAAGCGGAATGTTGGGTTGTCAATAAACAACATATCTATAGGATGAGTATAGCTAAGAAGAAGATATTGATATGGATGAGTAGTGGCACATACATAGTAGCATGAGCTAGGGTTTTAGCAAAGAAGAAAATAAGAAAGATCCAAAATTAGAGAAAGATTAAAAAACCAAAGACAAAAGAACGACCACTTGTTGCTCTACGGTTTTGAATAAAAATCAATAACATAACCATCCATTATGCTTGAGGACATCCCTTATATAAGAAAACCCTAACCATATTTAATTCTAACCATTTATCTAATCTAATCAAGGCCATTTATTATAAAAGACTTTAAGTGAATAAAATGACATAAAAAAAGCTCTAAAGATCACTATTTATATCCACGAGTGAATAACAAAACTCAAGAAATAAACAAAAGTCATAAAATGATAAACTCAATGACTAATTTGTCATTTTTTATTCCTTCTATGACCTCAAGAGCAGTATTTTAGGTTGCATTAGTTCCCCTTGCTCAAAGAATTCGCCCTCGAATTTGGTGGCTCATAGTCGGAGGTATTGTCACGATATGGAATGAGATGCTTGATATTAAAAATATTAGCAGTGTGAATACGGCTTGATAACTTTAACTTATAAGTATTGCCATTGATCTTCTTCAACATTTTGAGCTATCCTACCTTGACATGGCTTGAGAACAAGGCGTATCATTACTACATTCCCCATAGACATTTGATTAACAATGTCTTGGGCCCATTGAGAATTTCCATAATTGTAGTTCATAAGCACAACACACTTGATCCTGAACACATTGAAGAATAATCTACCATGAACTTTGAAGTGGTTGAATATTAATGATGCATTACCCCCGTGATTTCCTTTAGTTCGCATATAGTGATTAGATGTAGAGGTTTTCCACTCAAAATAAAATAATGGTTGAAGCTAAACTCTAACATCAGATTTATGTAAGCAACCATTCAATTGATGCCTTCTATATCGAACTCACTAGCAAAAGCTCATGGGGGAAATATCACCAAACCTTTCGAGCACATCACATGATACTCTACATTCAGATAAAACTCCAAGGAGAAGAATATTGTCATCATTATCTCTGTCAACACTACTCTCCTTACTACTTTCTATAGGGACTAAGAAACTTATTACCTCAAATATTTTGGGAATAACTCTTTTAAATCTACCTTGTTCTTCATTAAAAATAAAAGCATCAACAAAATCCTATCTAATGGCAGGATCTTCTTCTTGATCCTCTTTACATATTGGATCACCATTAAATCTATGATCACCCTCTTCTTTCTCAATATCCAAATCTTCATCTAAGTACTTTATCAAAGTAGTGGTGAAGCACAGTCCACAACATGTTGATCTTGAGAACTATATAGTAAAAACAAAATTTCTCCTGGATAGAGTTCCATAACACCTACTCAAAATCATCATTGATTTTGTGCCCACGTTAATGACACTGTGCACCGAACTCTTGACTAAGATCACATCATGAATTTGACCCATTTAACACCAATTTGGTGATCGAATCATCTACCTCTATCTCATCCTCTTCAGATGGGGTTTTCATATGCACCAAACACAAGGCTAAGGTTTCAAGCAATCTCCTCAGATTTGCAATCCATTCTCGCGAATTAGTATCAAACCGTTGCTGCTTTTCCACTTTTTCCTTGAAGGAGAGAAATGGTTATCGATCTAGGGCACAAAAATCAACGCTACAATAACTTGCTACAATGCCATGCTACAGTGCTACCCTTGCTAATCGTCGAGCATTGATATTAACCTAGTACAGACCTAGTAGCTTTGAGATAGGATTTAAGCAATAGGGAAGATCCAAAATTAGATAAAGATTTAAAAAGCCAAAGATGAAGAAGAAACACTTGTTGCTCTAGGGTTTTCAATAAAAGTCCATAATATAATCATCTATTATGATTGAATAGATCCTTTATATAAAAAAACCCTGAAACAAGACTTAATCTTGGCTATTCATTTAATCTAATCATGACTTTTTATTATAAAAGACTTTAAGTGAATAAAAGGACATAAAAGACTTTTGTAAGAACTTCTTAGGCCTCTGAGTGAATAAAAAGACTCAATGAATAAATTAAAGATATAAAAGGATAAACTCCATGATTAATTTGCCCTTTTATGGTTCCTCTCGTAACTTTAAGCTTATCTCTCTTATCTAGAAACTCGAGAATAATATTTTGGGTTGCATCAGGTCGCCATAAAAGAAAAGATCAAATTCGAAATAAATTTGTTAAGGAGAACTAAGGTGTGGCTCCAACAAGCGATAATATGAGATAAAGTAGACTTAGGTATGCTGGCCATATGCAACACAAACCCAATACAACACCTGTTAGGAGGATACAGGGTGGTTTAAGTGAAAGGCTAAAAAAGGACAAGGGGTAACCACAAGAGGACATGGTTGGGAGTAGTGCGTTAAGATATAAGGACATATAGCCTCACTGAGGGGTATGATATTTGATCGAACAGAATGACCTATCAGGATTCGTACAGTCAACCTCAAATAGTTGGGAAAAGGCTTTGATGGTGATGATGATAGTATATAATCCCTTAATTGAAACATGATCTGAATGTCTTTTTATTTATTTATGGAATTGATTGGTGATTTCCGACTTTGCATAGCCCCAACAGTGCAGCATGTGAAAGCAAAAATACAATATAGTCCTGCAGGATCACCGAATCTTTTAGCACCAAATCTTGACCAATTATCGGTGTTCCCATTGGGGTTTGAATATTATATAAGATAACTAAATGTGGGCTCCTCATTAGTTAGGGTTTTGGATCATAAATCGGTGTGCTGGCCTCTCTTTCCACCCCCCAAAACCAAGGGGCCCCAATCGCCATACGCCACCATACCACGTATCCCTCTTCAATCTCGCACCATGCCTTTCGCTTTCTCCCCCCACTCTCCCTCTATTTATTCCTCTAACCTCTTTCCCCAATCTCTTCAAACCCCATAAGAAAACTCCTCCATTTTGAAGTTCGAGCCATAGCAAATTTTTTTGATCTTCACCATTTGTTTTGAGTTTTCCGATGAAACCCCATCACAATTTTTTTTTATCTTCGCCATTGTTTTGAGTTTTCCGGTGAAAGTTTGTGACTCCCGACTGTTTTCCAGCCAAATCAAGACTTTAGTTTTCTACCTTTCTCGAATGGATCTGAGTGGTCAATGGCCCCCCCTCTCCTATCGGCGAGGGGTTCCGATTTTTACGAGGAGGTTGTATATGAAGTACTCTCTCTTACAGTCGTTTCTCTCTCTAAAGCAAGTAGCTTTTATTGTTGTCTCTCTCTCTAAAGAAAGGAAAGGATCCAGTGGGTGCTGCGACCTCTGAGAAATTCTTCTTGTGCCTAACCAGGTTCTGCCTTTAACTTTTGTACTCTTAGATCCATTTTTTTTTATCTTTTGTGAAATTTTTTAGTTTTCTGGCTCTTCCTTTCTAGAGAGAGGAAACCCATTTCTATAGAGAGTTAGAGGAAGACATAGAAACCCATTTCTAGGGAGAAAAACTTGATCTACTGAGGAAGTTTCAATTTCTAGAGAGAGGTGGCAATCTCTAGAGAGAGAAAGCCTGATGGAGAAGCAAACAACCAGAAGCCTGCTCTTTGGAAAATACGAGCTCGGCCGCCTCCTAGGCCAAGGCACGTTCGCTAAAGTATACTATGCCAAACACCTCAAAACAGGGGAAGGCGTCGCCATTAAAGCACTGAGCAAAGACCAGATCAAAAAAGAAGGTCTAATCAACCAAATAAAGCGAGAAATCTCGGTAATGAGACTGGTTCGCCACCCCAATATAGTTCAGCTCAAAGAAGTCCTGGCCACCAAAACCAAAATCTACTTTGTAATGGAGTATGTAAAGGGAGGTGAGCTTTTTGCGAAAGTAGCAAAAGGGAGGTTGAAGGAAGAAGCAGTCCGCTCTTATTTTCAACAACTGATAAGCGCCATTGATCTTTGCCACAGCAGAGGAATAGCCCATAGAGATTTGAAACCTGAAAACCTTTTGCTTGATGAGCATGAAAACCTGAAAGTTTCGGATTTTGGTCTCAGTGCTTTACCTGAACAATTGAGACAAGATGGGTTGTTGCATACACAGTGTGGAACCCCTGCTTATGTTGCACCAGAGGTTCTCAGAAAGAAGGGATATGATGGAGCTAAAGCTGATATCTGGTCGTGCGGTGTAATTCTCTATGTTTTGCTTGCTGGGTTTCTTCCATTTCAAGATGAGAACATCATGACAATGTATAGGAAGGTTTTCAAGGGGGAATTCGAGTTTCCTCCATGGTTTTCGACAGAGGCCAAAACCCTAATCTCGAAGCTTTTGGTCACTGACCCAGAGAAGAGGATCACCATTGGTGAAATCGTAGAGAACTCATGGTTCAAAAAGGGGCTTTCAAGACCAAATTTTTGGACAATAGAGCCACCAGAGCAAGAACCAGAGGAAACTGAAAAGCTACCTTTCGAAACAGAGGAACCTGATAAACCAGCTTTCTTTAATGCTTTCGAGCTCATTTCTTCTATGTCTCTTGGGTTTGATCTCTCAAACTTATTCGAAAACAAGAGGAAGTCGGGCACCATGTTCACTTCAAAACATGGGGCCTCCTCAATTCTCAGAAAGCTCGAAACCATAGCCAAAGGATTGGGTTTTTGTGTAAAGAGGAAGGGGTTTAAGGTGTGGATTAATAAGGAAAAAGAAGGGAGAAAAGGGCCTCTTCATGTGAAAGCTGAGGTTTTTGAGGTGGCTCCATCTCTTGCTGTTGTTGAGTTCTCGAAATCGAGTGGTGATACTCTTGAATATGCAGAGTTCTTTGAGAGACAAGTGAGACCAGGGCTTGGTGATATTGTTTGGACTTGGCAGGGTGATGAAGCTCATGCAGTGGCCTGAGACAGTGCCAAAACCTTGCTGAAATTCGCTGAAACTTTGGGAGCCCGAAGATTGGGTGGGTTGCAATTAACTGAGACACTGGGAGCCAAAAGATCGGGTAAGATTTTTGGTTGTTGGGGAATGGGAGGTCGAGAATCTTTTTTTCTTTTTCTTTTTCATTTGTGAAAAATGGCCATTTTGGCTGTAAGCTTGTGTATTTTGGCTGTAAGCTTGTGTAATTAGTGTGAGGATCTTTGGGCTTTGTTATGTAAGGAAATTTTGATTGTGCTATAGGGGATTCTCAGCTGGTCAGATGGTGGTTTCTTGTGGGATTTTGTAAATTTTGCCATTTTGGTTCGTAGTTTGTGTAATTACATGAAGATTTTTATGTTTTGTAGATCAGTTCTTTGAGTTTTGTAAATTAACTTTTGACTCTACACCCTAGGATTGGGTTATTAGCTAGTGAGGGGTGAGCTTGTGCTCATGGATTTTGTAAATTTAGCCCTTTGGGCTTACTGACTGGCGCATCTACATGGCGATGTTCAGATTTTGTACATTAAAGACATGTATTTACATGATTATGTTCAGCTTTTGTAAATCAAGTAGACTTTGATGACAAGATATAAGTTATTCTCATTGAGATTTTTGTAAATTTAGCCATTTGACTTATTTAATGATGCATGTGTGCATGAGAATTCTCAGATTTTATGATTAAAGAAATTTTGTGAGTTCTTGGGTTGGTTTGTAATTTAAGAAATTTTGAGAGTAAGATTTGTCGTCTTACTGAATGATCATTTTCTTGTAGATATTGAGATTCAAAAGACTTAGCAGCTGAAGTGACTGGATTCTAGAGCACCCCACTACTAGTGTGAAGGCCTGGACTTCTAGAACCCTAAATTTTTAGCTGAGATCGCTTGGTCTGTAAGCAACTGAAAATTTGAGATGTTTAAATGGGACGTGTGTAAAAGTGGACACAAATTATTTTTCCTTTGAAACTAAAAATTAATATTTTGCCTACAAAATTTTGTACTTGGAAATATCTCAGCCGACATCTATTGAGAATATCCATTGTAAAACTAACCGTGTGCTTTCCAACCTTTGGACTTGGGAATTGGAATAGTATGGGCCGAACTGTCTGTCTAGGGTATACAAAAATGTGTAGACCAAACTCGAGTGATCAAACGTTTTTGAGTTAGGCTATATAATGTAGGAAAATGGTTCGATAGGACTGCAGCCCTAAAAATAAGTAAATCCTCACTTCATAACTCATCAAAAATTGCAAGTCAAGCAATGGAAAACCTTTACATCGATTATCTAGACTTGAATATTATGGTTGTGAAGAAAAATTAGAATTTCAAGCTCTACAAATAGTGTATATTGTAACATATTATCTATACTATCAATTTTATTTTAAAAATAAATATTCACATATCCGCAATATTTTTATCATTTTTTGAGTTTCAAATTTTATTATCGGTGTTGGAAATTGATTTAAAACCATCATAGAGATTTCCGTAATCAAAAATACTTTTTGAACGAGGATTTAAGATGAGGCTTTATTTTATTTTCATAAAACCTAAGCGTTATAGAAACCTCGTCCAAATGTAGAGTAGGCTTTCCATGTGGCGCACCACATATAAAAGATCCATGACCTATCATTCCATTATGATAAGACAGTTCATAATATATTTTTTGAAGAAAGTTTCAGAATATATTTTTTTGAAGAAAGTTTCAGAATCTTATTCATCAATGAAAATAATACAACAGAATTAGGAAATAAGAACATCAGAAACTACCAAATCAGCAAGAGAAGGACCTTGTTTTGCAAGGGAGTCCGCCAAGCCATTGGCCTCCCGCAAGACATGAACGAATGAAAGAGATAAAGACCGAGAGAGGTCGATGGTTTCTAACAAGAAAGATCTCAACTCCCACAGGACCTTATTTTCCTTATTGCACCAGGTGATGACATTCAAAGAATCCCCTTCAACAATACACCTCATCCCAATATTCTTATCCCTAAAAAGTTTAAGCCCCTGAGTAAGTGCATAAAATTTCGCAAAATTCGTTATCTTCATCCCCAAAGGACCTGCATAAGTAAGCAATATCTGACCCTCCTAATCCCTTACAACGACTCCATAACACGCATTACCTGAGTTTTCAAAAGAGCTAACATTAAAGTTCAATTTAAAAAACCCCCTTGCTGGCGGAGACCATCTACCAATGGCTCTATTCCTTCGACCTTCTAATTGGAAAAGAGTAGATAAGTTAAACCTCACATCAACCTCTATAATATCTTTTCCCACCTTATGAATCGATAGGTTCATCCAAATAGAATGGAGGATCATCTCCAATACTCTTTCACATGGTAATGATGTCCCTTCAAAGACTCTTTTATTTCTTTCCTTCCAAAATTCTCAAAGAATCACCCCTCGTGCAATTTGCCAAATAATCACACCAGTCTGAGGCAAAGAAGGGATAGAAAGAGCATGCAAGACTCCAAAACCATCTGCAGGTAAGACCAATGGGACGCGTAATTGTCCAAAAAACCCGCACCAAATTCCATGGGTAAAAGGGCAATGAAGAAAGAGATGGGAACCTGTTTCCTCATCGCACTTACAAAGAAGGCATATATTGGGCAAGATCTTGCCTCTTTTGATGAGATTGTCGGTAGTAAGAACCTTATCTTGCAATACCAACCAAAGAAAGACTTGCACCTTGAGAGGAACTGGCCACTTCCAAATACTCGTTAATTCCAGCGTAGACTATCGTCATCTATCATGAAAAAGGAGATCATACATCAACCTTACCAAAAACTGACCATCCTTGGCAAGGTCCCAACTAACCTCATCCTCTGCATCCACATCAAATGGTATATATACATCTCGTAATATCGAAAGAACTTCAGAAAATTGGGAGAGTGTATCTTCAGAGATCCTGTTGTAAAGAAAGTTAAACTCCCAATCCTTCTTATCCCCCCTTTCAGCCAATAAATCATGTATAACCGCATTTTGGTTTTTCATACAATGGAAGACCAAAGGGAAAACAATTTTCAATGGAGCATTACCCAGCCATTTGTGATACCAAAAGGATATACTATGGCCATTACCAAGAGACCATCGAATATCCCTATGAATCAAAGCTTTACAATAGAAAATAGCTTTCCAATAAGGGGACATAGCTCTATTATGATGTCGCTCTCCAACCCACATCTGGAATCTATCCTCCCCATATTTAGCCCCTATCACTTTATACCAAAGTTGATCTTTGAGCCTTAGGCTTCTGCACCACCATTTGCATAAAAGCACTTGATTGACTAGTTTTATCTTCCTTAAACCTAGACCACCCTCTCTCTTAGGAGTACACACCCTATCCCACTGCATGAGATGGAATTTTTTAGAGTCACCCAAAGAACCCCAAAGAAAGTTACGCATAAGCCTCTTAATTTTCTTGGCCATCGATGCTGGAATCTGCAAAATTGAAATCTGATAAATAGATAGATTAGACAAACACGCTTTTATCAGAGAAATTGAGAATTTAGTATTCAAATCACCTTCATTAAGTCACTTTACACGCAAGCGTTGTTTCCAATACACTTCTTCCACTCTCTTGAGTTCTTCTCACCCATCAAATCTTCAGACTAAACACCTGTGCTTTCTACCACTTCATCAACCAATTGGAATTTTTTAAGAACTTCATCAATCCTACCTCTGATAGGAGCATGATTATTATTTTTTCCATACAACCAACTTATGCCCAACATTTAGCAGTTTTTTATTTAGCTGAAAGTCCATAGACCCAATAGGGATGGTATTTTCCCAGGTGATCTTGATCAAGTCGGTGACCTCTTTTTCTTGTAGTCAACCTATTTCCAACTTAAAAGGTGCAGGGCCCTTAGAGACCTTCTTTGTGCTTAAAAGAATAGGGGTGTGGTTAGAAGACAATCTAGGTAAAACTTTAACAAATGCCAAAGGAAAAAATTCAGACCAAGTACATGATATTAGAAACTTGTCTAGTTTAGACATAAAGAGGTTAACCAACCTTCTATTGGACCAAGTAAAGAGTGAGCCTGAAATCGGAAAATCAATCAGGGCATTGGCCTCAATAAACTGGTTAAACAAGTACATCGATCGTGTCACTAAGCCCCCACTCTTACTTTCATCAAGCCATCTTGTGAAGTTCAAATCCCCCCAAGACATAACTAAAAATCATAAGACTGAATAACATCAAACATTTCATTAATAAAAACTTCCTTTGTAGCCCAATTATGAGGACCATAAACATTCAATAATCCCCATTTAAAAGCAGAATGACGACCCAAAAAACCAACAACTAAAAAATTCAATTTAACCACCACGGTAAAGGATTGAATCACAGTTGGATCCCAAATAACCCACAGTCCTCCTGAAGCACCAACAGCATTACACTCAGCAAAATCAACAGAACCAGGTCCCCAAACTTCCCTAACTCTACTCAAAGAAGGAGTAGGAAGTTTAGTTTCCTGGAAAATTACAATAGAATGTCTGTACTTAGAAATTAAAAAAAAAGACATCTTTTTTCCTTTTGAGATCGCCCAGACCTCGTACATTCCATGAGAGCATTAGCATTAAAAGGATGGGGCCGAAGAGGAACCTGGACCATCCCTGAACGAGCCATAAAAGGCATCTTCCAGCAGCATAGCCTCTTCAAGACTTTCACCCAACATCTCTACACTATTAGAGGAATCAGAGCTAACCCCAGTTGGCTCGTTCGCAATGATGATGCCTCTCCAAGCAGCATTCAGAGGTACCCTCCCACATGCCTGCAACCTTGTAGAAAACCTGGTAGGGTTGGCCACTACCTTTTCTTTACTTTTAGCTTTACCACCCTTAGACTGCGGAGTTATAGGTGGAGCTTCCGAAGGCAGCGGACGCTAATCCATAGCCACAATATCAATCGTCTCTGCCTTATCCATGTCATCAGTCTTCTTTTTCTCCAGCCTCTTATTCGCAATGAACTCTTGAAACACCGCACCAATAGGGATGTTGAAGTCCATCCCACAATCATTAACCAGATAACGAATCTTGGCCTCGTCACGACGCTCTTCTGACTCCATTCCATCGTTCTTATCGACGTACGCAGGAGTAATCTGCACTGGTTTTTCTTCCCCAACCCACGTCTCCATAATCAATGGTGCATTAGTGAATTATAGCATAAGCGGATTAGCTACCGGAATCATGTTTAGTGGTGGAGGCTCTTCCATCGCAACCATCGCTAGATTATCCTGAGGAGCATTCACCAAAACTAGTGCATCAATCGATTCCATCTCAGCTGTTTCAAAAGCTTCAACACCCCCATTCATCAACTGCTCCTCTGCGTCCTCATCAAACTTAATAATAGCAAAGGATTCACCCTCAAAGGAACAAAAGAAGGTCGAGGAGAGACTCTTGACCTATGAGCAGCCCTGCGATACCTCAGCGGGTACATTTTGGTCAAAATAGCTAGCAATGTCTAAGAAATCACCAATGAGCCCCTCTGGAAGCCCAAAAACACTAGAGTAGAGAGAAGCAAGAACCAGCTCCAATGGTGCACCGTAGAGTTCTTAGCCGTCTTAGCAGGAAGAAGAGCCTTTGGCATTAATGTATTCCTCGGGAAGAAAGAGAAGCTTGATTGACTTTCTGACCCTAGCGGTGCCTTCTTAGGAACTTACGCTAGCTCAATCTTCTCCCTCGAAACTTGGGCCGCAATCGCATCACTCAAAGACTTGCCACCATACGTCGAATTGCAAGACTCAGGTGTACCCTCAAGATCACTGATAGCACTAAGACCCTCCGACTTCTTAGTAATATCCTCCTTAGAAAGCGCCGGTCCATCCTTGAAACGGCCCACTGGAATCCACCGTTTTTTAATTTTGAAAATTTGAAACTTTCATTTCGTAATGGACTGCTGCTTAGGCCACGGTTTGACTTTCCAATTATTGGCTGTCAGAAAAACCATCCCCGCGATATCCTTCTGGTTTTTTACATGCTTTCTCCGATAGGAAACCGCCTTCCATTCCTTCTGAGTGTTATCGGCAAAGTCCATAGCTATAGTTTACACAAGACACTTTTCAGGAGAAATTCCAATAGAAAAATTATCATGATCGACCACCAACCTAACGACCTTAGGTAGAGGGACCCCACACAATTTCCAAATATGAACTCTGACCACATAGAGATCAAGCCCAACGGAGCTGTTCCTATCAATATCACAAAACTCCCCACAACAATTCGCAATCTTACGAATATTGTCCAAGGTCTACGCATGGAAAGTAATACCAACAAGACAAATCCAAAGACTCTCTTTTGACACATAAGACCGGTGGAAGGAAGGTTTCCATAAATCCAAAGAGAACAGCTTCCCTCGAATACGAACAAACCAATTAGCCAAAGCAGCCACAACATCATCTTTGGATCGAAATAGGAATAAAATCTTATTCTCTCCTAATATCTTGACCTTCGGAGCATAAGAAAGATTCAAACCCCTCCTAGCAACCTAAAAATGTCAGTAGAAGGAGGGGAAAAGGAACCCACAATTGGGAAGCGAGCATTCTCAAAAAGACCAGCGCCTAAGTCATACTTCATCGTATTCACATCCATCTTTATTCCACGAACATCTCTCAGAAAACCTAAACGAACTCCAACATCTCCACCTTCGTCCCCCCTCTATACTCCAACATCTTCTCTGTTGTCTCCCATCTCCAAGTACTGGCTAGGACACACATAACAACGCACAATAATGTAAGGCGGTTCAGAATATTTAAACTATTGTAATGTAAAAATGAGTCCAAATTTTGGCAGTCTATCTTTCCACAGCCATGTAGCTTTATAAACTATATAATTTGACAAAAAAAGATATTTTAGGTATTTTATTAGGGAAAATACCAATTTAAGGGGTCGAAACCCCTTATAAACTCATGAAAAAAAAAAAAAGTTAATAAATACAGCCTCAAGTGGATTCATTGCAGCGTATGCGATTCCACTAGATACCAATTCCATTAACACAGCTGAATTCCGTTCACTTGAGAGGGGTATTTCATTGGCAATGTAGTTGAATTGTGTATCTCTTGTTATTGAAAGGGACTCCAAGCTTCTTGTTGATTATTGGAGTTGTCGTTGCAAACCTCTTTGGAGATTACGTTTAATATTGTCTAATTGTAAATCTAAGCTTGCATCTTTCGCTGGTCAGCAATAAAAGGGTCCAACACGCTTATAGGGAAGCCAATGTGGTTGCGGATTCTTTGGCCAAACAACGGTTTCAATGAATGAAGCGATGGTGCGGCATGCTCGCCCTTTTGATTTTGTAATGCCTTTCATTCTATCTGATGTTGCAAGTGTTCTCTTGTCAAGGGCTGTTTAAGAACTGTTCATGATATTTGTTTTGATTCTTTTGTGAGAAGGGTAAGTAAAAAGGGTAGGGCCGACATCCCCCACTGATCCACCCCAAAAAAAATAAAAATAATAGTCAATAATTAGAAGGTTTTTCAACCTCATGACGCTTTTTTCTACTAGTTTTTTTAGTGCACCTTACTTCTATACTATTGGATTGCAACCTTATTGGGTTGCACTTTGTGAAATGTTATCCAAACCGGGATAAACTGACCCATGCTTAAGAAACGGGGTCTTGAAAAAAGCATGCATATTTGTGAAATTTGTTTATTGGGTAAGGACACTATGCACCTATTTATGCGAGATTGCAAGCCCATTCAATTTTTTTAGCCTAATTTTTGTACATCTCAAATTCAACAAAAAAAGAATAATTTTAAAAATTGGTTTCGAGTTTTAAAATGCCTACCTCTATTGCCTATCAGCTCAAATGGATGGCTTCTATTCATTCTTACAAACAAGGCTGTTCAATGACTCTGATTGTCTGTGTTGACGGTTACAGCAGCAAGATGTAACACCAAATTTCAACAAAGTGCGAAATCAAATAGCAACAAGGTGTGAAATCACATAGACTTGGAAATAGAGAAGTCTTCAAGATTCACGTCATGGAATGGGCTTCCACTTGCAAATATGATATGTATAATATGGTCAAAATCAAATAGGCTTCAAGAGATATGGAAGTCATTGAATGTGGTTCCACTTGTAAATATGATATGGTCACCATGACAGAGAAAGCTTGCTCTGCTGTGCATTCAACATTTGGCTTATATCGGCTGTTTTGATACCATGTTGAATTTGTAATAAAAGAAATAGTGACGAGAGAAAGAGGAAAAGTTCAACAAAACATATATGTGGTTCAATAATGGTGTCTATGTCCACAGATGGTAGACTAGTATCTCATTTATAGGGATTAATTTGGTTTACCGAATATTTATAGAGTTACAATTCTTGCTTTTTAGGAAATAAATGTAATTAAAAAACACAATATCTTGTAATTCACAAAATAGGAAACTTAATATCTTGTCGCTATAACTATCAACAGTTGTCCCAAATATTGGTTTGGATCAATAGATCGGCGTGTCAAATTGGCAATCTGGTTGCAAGGATTGAGCTGGCCAGTTTTGTCAAAAACTCAACCTGTTCTTGAAAGGTATTGGTTGGATCCCAATACATGGCGGGGACCAAGCTGACACCATTGATTCTTGGGTCGGTTTTAGACCATTCCAACTCAAAATCATTTCTTGCCGTTCACTTGGCCCCACTACAAAACCCAGCCGTTAGCAATCACATAACTCATGGCCTAGCAGTGCATCCAAGCTCTTTGGCATGGCCCATTTGATTTACTCTTCCATCTGCATTGAAATCTGTGATATCTACGACATGCACACGATGATCTCCATGAAATTGGAGGAATGATTTCTCCTTTTTTACATGAGTTCGTTCCTAAAGCCAACTCATTTGGCATAGGAGAGTCACTCACCTTGAGACCATACGTTCCAAGGTTCTTCAACTGCATTATTGGCTTGGAAAGCTAGGGTTCTTGTTCATGCTTTGAGAAACTGAATTTCTAGCTAGGGTTACAGAGGTCTAGGGTTTGTATAAGGCCGAGGCTCTAAATAATTAAATTAAGTACACTTTCAAATAATATCGAGAAATGTGGTTCCAATACTAGAAATCTTTGTGATAGCCTTAAAATATATTTTCATATCTAATTATAAGATTCAAAGCTTAAAAAATAGTGTAGATTGAGCAGAACTGTGAAAATTTAAAAATCTTGAAAATTAATGGTAAAAAAATGTATTACAAAATGAACTATTTCCAACCCTTGAAATCCATTTTTTTTGTCATGTCCATGCATCTTGAAATCGAGATGATCAATTTGAAGACACTTAAGCATCAAAACAACCTCTTCTAATCAATTTTTTGAGGTGCACCATAATTTGATTGTTTAGGGCCTCACACCTACGTAACTTTTTCCTTTAAATAGTCTACACAAACAAGCTGTTTCACACGAACCAAACGTAGCATTTTACGCCAATGGCTACAAGCGGGTTTTAATTCCCAAATTTTTAGCTCCCCCTAAATATTCACCGCTACTTATTTCGAATCTTTGATTTTGGTCGAGGGAGCAAATGTACATTTCGCTCCCTTGCGGAGCATAAAATCTTTTCGCTTTACACAATAAAAGACCTAGCTGCCATCGACAGAGTCTTGAAGCTCTCTCGCTCTAAGAAGAGCCTGGTACACAGTAATCCATTCAAATCTCTCTCTCTCTCTCTCTCTCTCTCTCTCTCTATTCCTCATTGTATAAGACGAGCTTGATAAGTCCTAGGTCCTTAGAGCTTCTCTTTGCCATTAAAGCTTCCTCCCTCTCCTCTCCCATTAGTTGTCTGGAAATGGACGACGAAGAGATACATAGGGCGGTCATGACGTATTTGAAGAAGAAGGGTTTCAAGCAAACTGAGCTCGCATTTCAAGAGGAGCAGAGAAAAGATCTCTCTTCTGTGGAGACTGATCCTGACATTGCTCGCCAAATCATTTCTTTTGCAGAGTATGAGATCTTAGCTCTGAAGTCTCTGTAATGGTTATCATTTGATCTATTGAGCTTCTCGTTTAGGGTTTATGGATTATTAGTGGTTTCATATGTTAATGATATTCCTGTGTTGGAAATTTATTTTGATTGTGTGAGAATGTTAAAAACATTCATGATTTTTGCGGCACCCGAGTTTCTTCTCCATTTTCTTTCCTCGTAATTGGATACTCGAATCAGTTTATTGTGTATTGCGGGGAAAAGAGAGAATTGAATCTTCTGAGAAAATAAACTATCGTTTTGGCTCGAGAAAAATGTGAATTTGTTGATTTTGTCTTAAGAAAATGCTATTTTTAATCTCTTGTATCAATGTTAACACATTTAATATATCTTTTGTTTTATCAGTGTAAATATTGCATTGGATATCATTATTGTCTGATGATTCTTACCACAATGCTTGTATGGTTGTTGAGTGAGCATCATCATTATCCAGGCCTTATCCTAAGTATTTGGTGTTGCCTCCCAAATCCTGTTCCGCCATTCCCCTTTGTCAAGGGCCATAACCTCCGTTAGACCAGAGGTTACCATATCTTTTTCATTCTTCCATCCTTGTCCTTTGGATCTTTCCCTTGTCCTTTTAGAGCCTTCCGATTTAACCAAATTATCCATCCACACTAGTGTTGTTCTAGGTCGATGCTCCACATGGCCAGACCACCTAACTCTACTTTACTCATCTTATCGCCTATTCGAGCCACCTGAAGTTCCCTTAGATGTATTTATTGAATTCTATCATTTTTAATCTTGCAACTCATCGATCTCAATATTCTCATCTCAGCTGTACTCATTCTATGAAAATATTTCACAACACTCTGTCCTGTAAAGCATGATTGCTCTTACAACCGTCCTATAGGACTTCCACTTTAGTTGCATTTGGTATGCTATATATGACTCCAGAAGCACATCTCCATTTTGTCCACCCAGCTCTAATTCTATTTGTGACATCTTCCTCAATCTCTCTATTCTCATAGACTATTGACTCAAGATAGCAAAAATAATATCTTTTAGGTACTTCTTGGCCATCAATCTTAATTAATTCATTGTTTTTACTTCTATTATTATTAGGGAAAAGTTTATATAAGGTTGCAACCTTAAAATGTAGAACTACGGATGCACCTCAAAATTCCATCAGAAAAGGTTATTTTAATGTTGAAAAACCCTGTGATTGATCATCTCAACATCGAGATGTATGATTATGAAAAATAAAAAGATTTTGGGTCTCAGAAATAGTGCATCTTACAACATATTATCTACACCGTCCATTTTCTAAATTTCCATATGTTTATAGATCTACTTGATTTTGACCATTTTTGAAATTTAAAGTTTTATAATTAGATATAAAAATAGATTTTGAGATAATATTAAGACTATTTTACTTCAAAATTATATATTATGATAAAATTTGAAGGTACACCTTAGTTGGATTGTTTAAGGTTGCAACCTTATGGAAACCACACCCTTATTAATAAACTTGGATTCCATTTATGCTGTCTTAGTCCAATTAATTTTAAAACCTTTTGATTCTAGAGCATCCCTGCAAAGTTCTAATTTACATAAATGTCATCTCTAGTCTCATCAATGAAAAGTAAGACATCTGCAAACAACATACACTATGATAATTCATCTTGTAGATGCTTAATTAACTCGTTCATAACCAAAACAAAGATATATTAACTCAAAGCACCCCTGATGTAGGCCTATTGTCCCTGAAATTTCACTTGTATTTCCACTAATTGTCCTCACACTAGCTAGCACTTCGTCATACATATCTCTCACCATGTCAATATATTTTCTAAATATTTTTTTTTTTTTCCAACACCCACCAAATCAACTCCCTAGATAATCTGTCATGTGATTTCTCTAAATCAATAAAGACCATGTAGAGGTCTTTTCTCTTCTCCCTAAGCCTCTCAATCAATCCCCTAAGTACGAAAATAACCTCAATTGTTGATATCTCTAGCATAAAATCAAATTGAGTTTCTGATACACTCGTTTTATGTCGTAGTCGTTGCTCAATCACTCCCTCCCATAGCGTTATAGTATGGCTCATAAATTTGATTCTTCGATAGCTCGTACAATTTTGTATGTCTTATTTGTTGTTGTAAATAGGTATCACAATACATTATCTCCATTCGTCTAACATTTTCCTTGTTCTCAAAATCTTGTTGAACAACTTGGTCAACTAGGATATGCCAATCTCTCCCAAGCACTTTCAAACCTCTATTGGATATCATCTCTTCATAAAACTTTTCCTATCTTCATCTTTCTCAAAGCTTATGTCGCTTCAAATATGATAAATTTATGAATGTATTTATGACTTCCAACCTCATTTATGTTGAAGGTTCCTCCTAACACTGTACTCCCATAGTGGTCGTCATTTAGTAATTTTTGAAAATAAATTCTCCACCTTTAGTTGACCTCATCATCCTTCACCAAGACTCTCTAATCCTCACTCACAATGCATTTAACATGAATCAGATCCCTACATTTTCTCCTTCATTTTTGCTAGTTTGAAGATATTTTTTGCACCTTCTCTTGTCCTTAGTTAAGGGTATGGCTCTTAATAGAGAAGAATGGAGGAATATGATTCATGCACCCGACCCAAAATCATTGAGATAAGGCTTGGATGATGATGACGATGATGATCATCATCATCACTATCATATGCATTAAGTTTAGCCTTATTTTTTTCTTAAACGTTCTTCTTGGCATTATTGTATTCTTCTAAGTTTTGATCATTTCTCTTCCATTGCCAGGCTTTGTAACACGTTAATAACCTTTTGAACCTCATCACTCCACTACCAAGTTTCCTTATATGAATGTTTTCCTTTTATATTCTAAACTTCTTTTGCCACTTTCTCAATATAATCATCCATCTCATCCCACATAGCATTAATTTTGTTCTTAAAATTCTATTTTCCTTCTTTTATCAATTTATTTCTTAACAAGTCTATTTTCGCCCCTTTTAAATTCTACCACCTAGTTCTTGGGCACCACCTATTAATTTCAGTAATCTTTTATCTCTTTAGGCAAACATCCTTAACTATGAGCCCATGTTGCGTGGCATGGTTGTTGAGTGGTATAGCAAAGAAAGTTCTCTGGCATTGAATGGGAAACTTAACTCTTAAGGTTTGTTTTTGTGCAAGGATGAGTATTGTTAAGGGTTGTATGGTCTGTTATTCACTTTAGAGGAGGCTATTATCTGTGGTTGTTTAGTCTCGTGTTTTAATAAGGAATTTTTGTGGATGCTGAATGAAATCTTCACCCACAAGGTAGTAGAGCAGATGGTGGAAAGATGGGATATAGTTGGATTGCTTTTGATGGGGAAACTTGGCCTACATGTGGACGCCTATTAAATTTTTGGTTTTTGGAGTATGTCCAATTGGGTTTATAGGAAAGAGTAAAATTTTACTATCTTGTAGTGGGTAGACATGGGTACTGAAATGAAAAGAGCATGATTAAGTGTGTAAGAATTCAAATATCAATGTTATTCTTCTTTATTTCCTTATATGTTCTTTGTGCTAACTGCTAAACATGGTGGCCCTCTCGATGCAATTTCAAGTAATGTGGCAAAGTACCTATATCAATACACATATCCTATGGTCGTGGAGAGGTGAAGTCACGATTGGAATTTATTCTTAGTTTTCCTTCTCTTTCTTTTTCTCTTATTACTTGGAATCCCCCATAAACTGCACTTGTGAGAACAAGGTTTCTAATGTTTTGTGGATCACTAATTTTGGGTGAAACCGTGAATTGATGTAAGTAGTTAAGTTGACATGAGCCTTTTTTAGCACTGTTAAGGATGCAATCATTTGACTCAATCATCTAATATACTAGTCTCTAGTAGTGTCCCTATGATCTCTAGCAACGAAAGGTTTCCATTCCGTTGGGATGGATCAATTTTGGATTAGTGGAATATATTTGCCTCGTAGCTATGAAAGTGAACATATGCTTACCGTAGTCTGGAGCACTCTAACATATCCAAATAATGCGGTATAAAGAAACCAAATAATAGGTCATTGAATTTTGCAATGGTTAACTCGCATAAAAGACAAGAAAATAAATAGTTTATTCTCTATTATTAATTCTTATATTTGATTGTTTGAGTTCCTAAGATCTTGTAAAGTGAAGTGTATTAAATGCTGCATACAAATATGTTTCACATAGGAGTTGCTTTTACTTATCAACTCATTCGAATTTGTTAATTGGAACTGCTTGCTCTTTAGAGAGATGCTAACTTCAATGCTTTTTCACTGAGTCTTGTGTATCATAATCAGTCGTCAAAAATTGGCTCGGCCCCTGGCTGGTCCTTCCTAGCGATTTGCACGAGTCTGGGTCAAACTTACCCGAGTTGCCTAAGAAGCCTAAAGAAACCCCAAAAACTGGGGAAAGTATGAGAATTCAGAAAAATAATAAAATAAAAAATAAGAAGCATTTAAAACGCCGAAAATGATATCTTATGAATTGAAATTGAAAAATTGAAATGTGCCCAAGATTGTTGCGTGTTGCACTTGGTGCGGATCGACGCCTCCAATCTTTTGTCTCCCCCCCGCCCTCCCCTCCTTTGCCCAACAAACAAAGAGAACAAACAAAGAAGTACTAGATTTGGTATTCAAATTTGGATGTAATTGAACCGAGGTCATAGAAATTACGTGTGAATACTAAATACTCAATAAAATTGAGAAAATAATGTTTTTAATTTTTATTTTTTATGGGAAACAAGATTATGATTGAATAAAGAACCCAAAAATATGATTAGGGAACGAATTTCATCAAAGATTTAGCAACTGTTTCAAAGAAATCACAACTTTTTGAAATTGGGCAAAACCTATGTTGAAATTTCATTTTCTTAGTTCCATTAATCTGAAGCTTTTTGCTAAAATATGATTCATTTGCTTGATAGAAATCATGGAAACACGTGTCTAGGATGAAATTTGGGTTAGGGTGAGAAATTAAGAAAAAAAGTCTGCTCTCTCTTTATATTCAGTACGCCGGCTATACCCTCAAGTTGGCGAACATTGATTAAAGCCATAATTTGGCTGAAATATAGTAAAATTTTGTTCTTTACCTCTGAGGACTAGCAATAGTAATTTTTCCTCACTGATTTAGTTGCATTTTAGTTTAATGAGCAAATGATTTATAAACATTGGCAGTGTATTGCAGCCTATTCCTTTGTCTGTCTTTTATAGTGATTGAGGTGGTTTCTTTATTTTACCCTGTGATTGCTCTTCTTTGGCAGATCAGAGAATGGCCCAGCTAAATACAAGGAGGATTATAGCAAGCTAAGATCTTGGACCTATAGCTCATTAGATTTATACCGGGTAAGATGATTCTCATGGATTTTTTGATTCTCTAATTCTTTGTATTGAAGTAATGCGTGCCCAATCCTGGGGAATGAAGCATTCAACAATCATGCAATCACAATGTCCCTGCTTGTATAGTTCATCAGCAAGATATGGAATCTGATATTATCTCATTTTAAAGGACAGCACTGACCCAAACAACTTGGCACATACTTTGCTCAATTTATATTCATTATACATGATGACTCAATTCATGTTTGATGTTATACCAATTTTCCTTTTTCACTGATATAAGTATGTATTATGTATACATGAAGTTGTCGTTTCCTGTAGAGAAAAAAAAGACAATTGCATAATGCAGGTTATATGATTTCATTGGACTAGATAAAGATCATGTCAGACAAAGGGCATGATGAAAGTTGCAGGTTTAAGCATTGGATTGTCTGTATTTCTTAACAAGAATCCTGTTGTCCCCTTTATTTGGCTAATAGGTCGAAACCAAATGAATGATCTCCTCCATCTCGTCTGCTAGCATCCACCATATTGTGTCTCCCTTCTGGTCTTTTTAATAACATTTATGGATTCCCCTTGCACTGGAAAGATACCTGTGGAAGTTAAGGAAAACTCTCTCGATACATTAAGAAATTTTGTTTACTACAACTGCAAAATCACAAGCATCACAAGTTTTTCGGACATGAGATATCCTCATCACTCTTGTGACTATCTCAAATGATACCTCATATGTCATCAGGACCCATGTTGTCAAAGGAGTGAGCATCACAAAAATTCTAAGCAAGCCCATATTTGGAGCCATCTTCTACATTTTATTTGTAGTGGTACTTTTGGCCATAGTGATAACACGTCATCCTGTTCAAAAGTTGGCTTTTTGAATTGCATTGCTTAGGAGGTAATGGAACTGACTGCAGTCCTTGCAGTTTGACTAGAGGTTCATCTTTTTGGTAGGGTGGGTTGGTAGTTGTCAATTATCTCGCACTGTTAGTGCTTGGTATTTTTTAATTAGCTAGATTCTGCTACTTAGCTTTTAAATAACAAACCGATCACCGAATCTGTGGTGCACAATTCATTCTCATTGTAGCAACCTGCATGTACCTGTGCGGGAAGTTTTTACCTCACAAGCTACAAGGTAATAGAGCTTTGCTCTTACCCAACATGGGTTTGTGGAGCTACTAGTTGGCCATGCCCTGGAAGGTTGTGTGTGTTGTGGAATTTCCTCTGCTCTCATCACATTTTAGTGGATTGTGTCCTAGGTGTTCTGGGGTTAAATGTTCAGATCATGATTACTGGTTTGGCATGGTAAGAGTTTTACTAGTAACAATAGAATTGAACGTTTCAGAGCTACATATTTCCATTTTGGGAATGGGATTTTATCTAGTTTGAATTTGCTTGATTTGAACTACATGTGTTGGTTATGCAATTGAGTGCTATGATCATTATGGTGATTTAGTGAGAGCTCCTGAGATTGTTGCCTGTTCAGACGATATTTATTTTCCCTTTTTTATTGGTGTGTTCCAAGTTTGGCCTGATATACTATTCTCTCTTGCTTTACCAACAAACTGGTGCTTTTATGCAGATGTAATCATTTACTCATCATGGTGAGCACTTTCAACTTTTATGCAGATGTAATCATTTTATTATAAGCACGCTATTTTGTCTAAAATTAACATCTCCTTAGGAAAGGGGCTGCAGTCATGGTGGTAGCATCCCCACACTCAGTTACCACATCGTGGTATCCATTCCTACCGCTAACACCCCCAATTAACACCTTCAAAATGTAACTCCCTAATCTATTGAAAAAAAACTGGTAGAGGCCTGTCTTCCCCATTGAATTATCCAAAAAATTAACATCTCCTGCATAATATACTTTTTTAGCAGTTTGGTAGGTGCCTACTATTATGAATAATATTATTTGGTTAGTTGTTTGGTACCCTAGCCCAGAATTCTATATGATGAAAACTAATGACTTTATGGCAATTTTCCAGCTGTTGTAAGCTACTTTCAGAGAAAAACATGAGACTGCAAATTTTTAGCTAGCCAGGAAAATCAGATATTCTTTCTATAGGCAACAATCCCCCCCCAACCAAACAAAAAAAAAAAGAAAAAAATTTTTATTTTCAAGGGAAAGAAAAGAAGGCTCTAATAAGCAAAACATTGGCAGGAGTCAGGACAGGACTAGATGTCAAGCTGGTGAGGGCGATCGTTCAGTCAGCATTGCCGGATGGGATTGGCTCCCTTATTAGACCGGTCATTTTTTTTTTAAAAAAAGGTAAATACAAAAAAATAAAAATAGTGAAAAATATGGAAAAGCATAACAATATAGAAAACTAGAGAAAATTCAGAAAATTATTAGGAACACAAATAAAATTACAATGCATCATATGTTCATGTCTGATGATTCATTTTAGCATTAAAGAAGCATAAAAAATGCACATAAAAATGAAAAACCAAAAATGCCTAAAATCCATGATATGAAACAAATTTCTTCTACCAACATTTTCCATAATTCCATTGGAGTATTAAAGTTTCAAAACTAAAATAAAAATGCAATGAGAAAATGAAAAAAAGCCTAGTATTTATATGAAAAAAAAAAAAGCATATGAGCTACCAAATAAACAAAAACCAATAACAACTTGCATTGATCTGGAAAAACAGCCATTAAATTGAATAGAAGAAACAACCTATTGCATTGATTTTGAAAAAAAAAAAACAATTTATTTCTTGCAAAAACCCTTCAAATGTGAATTTTTCTATTTTTCCAAATATAATCAACAATTTAAAAAGGATGTAATAAACTTACTAGGGGCTTGAAGTAAGGCGGATTGACAGCTGGAATCCTTCCCTAAAGTCACCAGATTTTGCCCAAATTTTTTTGGGTTAGTGTGGGTGGGGGTTCAAAGATTTCCACAGTAGCGGACTCACTCTCTTTCTCTCTAAAAATCCACTTTTTAAACCTGCAAATTGTTCCAAATACAGAAAAAACCCAAACACCCCTAAACAATTTCAAAAGGATGAAAAAGAACCCCAAAAAAAAGACAAATTATGACTCAAAATTTGAAAACAGGAAGGTTGTTTTTATCATTTTGAAGCGATATTGGGATTGGATTGTTCGATTCAGACTGGTTGAACCAGCCAGTCCAACCATCGGACTGGCCGGTCCACCTGTTCAATGACATTCTAGTTGAGGGGGTTTGAGCTGATCTGAATGCCCACTAGTCCGGTGGTTCCGGTCTGGACTGGCCAATTTTAGCCCGTCTTAATGTCGTTGCTAACAAGGCCTTCTCTAAAAAATGCTCAAATCCTTCTTCATCGTCATTTTCCAAGCATTATTCCAATTATTTGGAGAACAAATGAGATATAATAATAAAAAATAAAGTTTAAACTTGTTTGGATCTTTATGTCGTGACCATAGGCCAGCGCTTAAACCTCATTGTGAGCCTAACCTACTCATGTTTGGGTTATCGACTTATAAACCGGAAGTTAGTCCTCATTACGAGTCTAGCTTGTCTGGACCTCTGGGTCATGACCCTAGGCCGGTGGTTAAGCATCATTGTGAGCCTAACTCGTCCAAATCCTCATTTTCCATTTATAAGCCGTTAGTCAAATCTCATTTCTAGTCTGACTTGTCTCGATCTTTACCCGTGCCTCTTGATCGGCGGTCAGGCCTCAGACTAACTGTCAGTGGTGTTGACTCCTAAACTGGCAGTTAGTCCTCATTATGAGTTTAACTTGTCTGGGTCTTTGTCTTGATCATAGGCTGGCGGTTAAGCCTCATTGAGAGCCTAACCTACCCATGTTTGGGTTATCGGCTTATAAACTGGCAGCTAGTCCTAATCAGGAGTCTACCTTGTCCAGACCTCTATGTCATGTCCATAGGCTAACGGTTAAGCCTCATTGCGAGCCTAACTCGTCTGGATCCTCATTTTTAATTTATAAGCCGTTAGTCAAATCTCTTTGCTAGTCTGACTTGTTTGGATCTTTATCCCGCACTTGTGCACTGGTGGTCAGGACTCAGACTAAGCAAGACCTGCTCAAACCTGGAACCCTCACACAGTGATCCATGCCTCTGTGTGCGTGTGCGTGTGTGTGTGAGAGAGAGAGAGAGAGAGAGAGAGAGAGAGAGAGAGAGAGAGAGAGAGAGAGAGAGAGAGTAGTAGTAGTAGTA